CTTTGCCCCCACCCCACCTGCATCCATTCCTCAGAGAGAGTAAGGCTTCCCATGGGGAGTCAACAAAGTCAGACCTATCACTTTGAGGTGGGACCAATGCCCTCCACCCTAAATTTAGGTTGAGCAAGGTATCTCTCCAGAAAGAATGAGCTCCAAAAACCCAGTTCAAGCACTATGGATAAATTCTGGTTCCACTGCTAGTGGCCCCAGAGACTGCTCAAGTATCACAACTGTCACGCACATTCAGAGAGCCTAGTTTGGTCCTATGCAGGTTTTCCCACGCACAGTCTCGAGTCAGTGATTCCCATTAGCTCAGGTCAGCTGTTTATGAAGGTTTCCCCAACATGGCCTGAACCCCTTTGCTCCTTTTATTTCTCTTCCCTATCTTTGACTGGTCTCTGGAGGGTTGGTCCAGTGCTTAGCTGTGGATCTCTGTATTTGCTTCTGTCAGCTGCTGGATGAAGGTTTTATGATGACAGGACACTCAGGTATAGCCAAATCCTATTGTTTGTAACCATAGTTAACCATACTGTCTTCATGGGCCCTGGCTGAGCCTATTGTGTTAGGATTCCAGTCATGGTGGTCTCCTCATAGGAGAATATTTGTAGAAATCTTTGGTTTGAAGACTTGAAAAACAGTGAGTGCACAGACAGATGAAGATGTTAGCTGATGATTTTATGCTTTGTGTGAGGTTACACAGTTATATTAAGACTGGGAAAGTTAGCTGAGTTACAAGAAGTCATTGAAGCAAATACTTGATTGGAGTGGGAGAAGTGATATGACTTAGGAGTGAGTAAGAGTCATTTCAAGGTGAGATGGGAACTTGAAAATCAGTGGGAAGCCAGACATGGAACTTAAAGCAGGAGCTGATAAGCATTACAGAAGAAAACAATTTTTTTTCAAGACACTTCAGACTGATTACAGGGGAGAATAGTAGAGACCAGGGAGGAAGAAAAGGAGGAAATTGCAGTATAAATCAAAGATGAAAAATTGTCAACAGAAGTGTGAGGTTTTTTTCAATAGGAAGAAGGTATAAGTATTGAAATGTACCACCCAAATTGGCTCACCTCAGGGGAGGGAAGGTGGCAGCCTAATGTCCTGCCAGCAAATTGTTTTCTGCTCCTTTTCAATAAAATGTGGAATAGAACTCTCTGACAGAAAGTCAAGAAACACAGGGTCTTTGAAATTCACCTGCTGTTACTGGCATCTTCTGTGTCTACTTGTGTCTTTGGATGTAACTGAAGCTATTCTCTAAGTTTTTGGCTAATGCATTTTCTTTCATAGTTGAACATAATGAAAATAAACATCATGGAAGGCTGATATTTTTCAACTCCCCATATTCTTCCCTAGAAAACAGTTCAGTAGAAGATACGGCCTTGGTTCTAATATGGGAGGGAGAGAGTAAGATAATATTTTTCCCCAATTAGAAGTTCAAAGTAGTTTTTGCCCCCTTTCAAATTTGTAAAAGAGAAAACTGAGATTCATAAAAACTTTCATGTTTCAGTTTGCCTTAAGGCCCTTTGATCCGTCACAGTGGACCATGATTATTTTGAAACTATCCCATAATACTTCCAGACATACCCACCACCGACTCCTATCATCTGCCCCTGGTTCTTGTTTCTAGTGATTGCTGACAATAAAGATTCTCCTCTTTATCTTAACACCTAGCTAATACATTTACACTTTGCTATCACTTTTTAAGCCTCACGATTAAAATTCCTTTTGAACATCTTCACACCTTGATCTTACTTTTCACTTAAAATAGTATTGTCCTTGGTAATTGATTTTGCCTTTACCCGAAATCTATAAACACTGTCATTGCTTAACTTCAGAATTGAAATTTCTTTCCTTGGGAAACTAATAGTTTTTAATTACGTATCCACATTTAGTAGACATTCCTCTCTCTAGAGAAATATACAATGCTGTCCTGTGCGTGTGTACAATTCCAACTATTCCAGTTTTCTAATAAACACACATTCTTAGCCTTAAAACCCTCCCCCAAGGCCTGTTTTCAGCCCGTCTTTCCAATCTAATTTCCCTTTGCTGTTTCCCATGCAAACACTTTTTTTCCTAGGGAAAACAAAACTGAGCCCTAATACCTTCCTCTCATAGCATTTGTGTTTCTCATTCTTTGTTCTGAGATGATTACCAAATCAGCTTCTAAGGTTATCTGTTTCTGCTCCGGTAATCTTCATTTTCTGATTCCTGCTCCTGACTCTGGGTCCCAATGATCCTCCACAGGCCTGCTCTCCCCTCTCTCCACATCCTGGCCATTACCTCCTTGTAATAATGTGGCAGTATCAATTTCCTGCTTGATAATTTTTCCTACAATATTTCTACCTTGATATTAAAGTCGTATGCCATTTTTGCCTCTTGCTATTGCATTGATTATATAAGATGTGCACTACAAGTTGCTGTATCCTCTTGTCAATTTAGACTTTTCTGAAACATTTTTATTTGCTTTTTCCATTTTTCTAACTTCGAGTTCATCCTCTGATGTGCTGTTCAGATGTAACTTCCTGTAGCATTTCCTCACGCACCCTAAATACAACTTAACCACCCAATTTCCTTTTTTTTAATTTTTTAATTTATTTATTTATTAAAGATTTCTGTCTCTTCCCCGCTACCACCTCCCATTTCCCTCCCCCTCCCCCAATTAAGTCCCCCCCCCAGCCCGAAAAGCAATCAGGGTTCCCTGTCCTGTGGGAAGTCCAAGGAACCCCCACCTCCATCCAGGTCTAGTAAGTTGAGCATCCAAACTGCCTAGGCTCCCACAAAGCCAGTGCGTGCAGTAGGATCAGAAAGCCATTGCCATTGTTCTTGAGTTCTCAGTAGACATAGGACATTGAGCCTATAATTAGTGATCCTAGAGAAGCTAAATAAGGAGAACCCAAAGAAAAACATATAGGCATCCTCCTGAATATTAACCTTCAGCAAGCGATGAAAGGAGACAGAGACAGAGACCCACATTGGAGCACAGGACTGAAATCTCAAGGTTCAAATCAGGAGCAGAAGGAGAGAGAGCACGAGCAAGGAACTCAGGACCGCGAGGGGTGCACCCACACACTGAGACAATGGGGATGTTCTACTGGGAACTCACCAAGACCAGCTGGCCTGGGTCTGGAAAAGCCTGGGATAAAACCGGACTCTCTGAACATAGCAGACAATGAGGACTACTAACCACCCATTTTCTGTGCAATTGTGCCAGAAAAAAAAAAAAAGCATTAACTGGTTTTAATGCTGTACTGCAGCTGCTTCTGTTGTGAAAATATCAATGAATGCTTATACCTATGAATTTAATTCAACCAAGTGAATATATGTATTTTGAGTTAGCATAATGGTATTTAATAAGTGCTTATTTATAAATTGACTGCATAGAAACATATCTCAATATATCCTGACCTAACAAATAATTCAAGTCTCACACATGACAATTTGGTACCCTTTCTGGGGTAATACCATCTTTTTCACTTCCCATCTTTTTCCAACCATAGAGGATCCTAAAACACACCGAGAAGACACCATCATCACTCTACCTACTTTTTTGTTTGTTGTTTAAGTGAACACAATTTGCCTTTGGATGATTTAGAAGATCTCATTCTGTTCCAATTTGTAAGCTCAGCTAGGGTAAAGTCATTCTTCTTTTATCTTCTAACATTTATCACAGGAGCTTTACATGTTAGAAGTAAAATAAATATGGATTCGAGGAAATGTATGCACAATTATTTTATATATCCCAATATGGAAAAATCAAAGAAACTGAGAATTTTATGAGATCGTTGCAATAATCTGGCATTTTCACCTGATGTATTAGATGATCAGGTTCAAAGAGGTTCTGTGGTATTTTTTTTCTCCTTTTTTTCCCCTCCCCTGTGGTATTTTTAAGGTCTCAGAAATAAGAAAAATTAGACAAATTAAAGGCTGATTTTGGCACAGAGTTTTTGGGTTTTCTTTCAGACATATTGTTTATTGTTCAACTACATATTCTTAGTTTTTTGGTAGAGTAGATGTTAAGTTTTCCAATGATAATGACACAAACTATGTAGATTACCATTGCTAGACAAAAACTGAAAAAGAATCCCTGAGTATAGTTTCTCTGTGAAGCCTTGGCTGTCCAAGAACTCACACTATAGATCAGGCTGGCCTCAGAGATCTGACCGCTTCTGCTTCCCGAGTGCTGGAATTAAAGATGTGTACCGCCATCACCTGGCTAAAATCAATTGTTTTTTTCACTTTTTGAAGACTAGAACATCCTTACATCAGTGTAAGATAATTTAGGGGAATTACAAACGAGAGTGTATATTATACACTATTATAAGCACTCATTGAGGAATTACAAAATAAAATTGTATTTTAAACAATATTATTTGTAATCATTTTCAGCAGTACTTCATAGTTCAGGCCTACCATCCAGCTACTTCGGAGGTTAAGCCAGGAGGATAGCAAGTTCAAGGGCAGTCTGGGACACTTGGAACCTTGCCTCAAAATAAAAAGTACAGCCGGGCTGGGAATACAACCTCAAAGTGCTTGCCTAGCTTGTGTGAGGCCCTAGCTTCCCTCTATGAATTGCAAAGAAACAAGGAAGTCATTGTCCTTTCTCAAAAGATGTCTCTACCCTTAGTAAAACTGAGTAAAAACTGATTGCATATTTAGCAAAAAGTACATCTTCTTATACAAATGTAAAGCATGCTGTATATCTATTTTGAGTAAGCAGTCCTGTTCATATAAGAAATACAGTTTTTACTTTAATTCTTAATTTCTGTATAGGTTTCCCATGTGTTTTCCAGCCTGTATCAATGAGCATGGGACCAGTTTATCATTATTTCCACTACATTCAGATGTGTTGATTCCCATTGTTAAATACCCACGGGCGTTATAGGAATTGAAAGCTAAAAAGCACAAGGTTGAACACGACATTGTTTCATGGCCTGTGTGAGATTCCATTCTCAGAAAAGCTGGAGCAGGTTTGTAACTGCTTTCTGATGTTTTGTGTTTGAAAGGTGACTAAGATTTGTGGCAATCCAGTGAGGATAGCGACACAGAGCCCCCGCTGCTCTTCTGATCCAAGCAAAGAGAAGCATGGAGTGAGGATCTCTACAAGGAACGGTGAGGAGACGCTTGCCAACAGAAGAAAGTAAGACCTTTGTTTTACAACCAGAAAGAGAAAGTAAGCCATTGATTCTATAGGAGATAGAATGTTGTTTGTTAAATAGATTCAAATGTAGTATGGAAGAAAAAATTTAAATGCCATTTCCCTGTATTTAAAATGTAGTTGAAGGGGAGGGGAGAGGCAGGGAGGGAAGCAGAGAAAAATGTAGAGCTCAATAAAAAATCAATAAAATAAATAAATAAAATGTAGTGGCTAATGTTCTGGACAGAGAGTTCAGTGTTAAACTCTTGCTCTTGCAAAGGACCTGAGTTTGGTTCCTAGCACCCACACAAGCTCATCTCAACCACCTGTAGCTACAATTTGAGAGCCTCTCAAAGTCCTCCTGGCCTCTGGGGGTGCCCATACACACATGATACATATATAGACAGACACATATACATAATGCCATAAAATTCAGTGGCTCAACATTTCCCATTAATTTGGAAGATGGGTTCAGCTTGTGAGAATAATAATTTTTTGTTGCTACCATTATTCTTGATTTCATTAGGGCAATTACTATATTCTAATAATTGTAATCCAATAATAATTAGAATTATTCTTTAATGTTTTATGGAAGTCCTAGGAATATGTGAGCATAGGGTATTTAAACTAAGGACCACATACTTTTAACTGATTTGAATTAACTGTGTTTCTTCATATAGCTAATGGTGATTGTCAGTCTAGGACAAGGCTGTCACTACATGTGGTTTATATTTCTGGATATTTAGCATTCTTTAAATAGAGTAAAACAAACAAACAAACAAACAAAAAACTACCCTTACATTTTACCTGCAATGGTAAAAAAATACCCACTTGTTTATATCAAGTGGTAAGCATTTAGCATTTCACTGTGCCTGTCACTATTTTACTGGGTAAATAAAACTCTCTGGTGTCCCTTTGCTTGATAATTGGTGTCTGACATGAAAAACTATTCAAACTAGAAGAAAACATTTTAATATTTAGTGAGTGTGTACCTCCTAGAAAACAGTGGCATCTTTGTCATTGCCTTCTAAATTGAATCTAAATTCAGATCTTTATGTATGCATTAGTTTAAATAGTTATTTCTAATATCTTTTAGGTAATCTATAGTAAAATACTTTATGAAGCTTTCTCAATAAAAAAATCATCCAGTTTCTTTTTCCTTATTTACTCATTTACTTGGATTTATTTATTCTTCTCTCATATATTATATCCTGAACAGTAATTTTTCCTCCCTCCACTCCTCCCAGTCCCTCACCTCACCTCTCCTCGCCTCCCAGACTGCAGATCCATTTTTCCATTTCCTTACAAAAAAAAAGAAAAGAAAAAGAAAAGAAAAGGAAAAGCAAGCCTCCCAGGGATATCAGCATAGCATAACAAGTTACAATAAGACTAGAAGACTAGGTACAAACCCTCATAGCAAGGCTGAGCAAGGCAGCCCAGTAGGAGAAAATGGGTCCCAAGATCAGGCAAAAGAGTCAGTCACCACTCCTTCTTCAAGTTCCACTGTTAGGAGTCCCACAATAACACTGAGCTACACAACCATATTATATATGTGGAGTACCTAGTGCTGACCCATGCAGGCTCCCCCATTGTTGTTTAGTCTCTATGAGTCCCTATGAACCCTGCTTAGCTGATTGAGTGGGTTGTGCTCTCCCTTACCCTCTGGCTCCTACAATCTTCACAGTCCCTCTTCTGTGGTGGTTCCCTTGGCTTCACCTACTGTTTGGCTGTGGATCTTTACATCTGCTCCTGTCCTTTGCTGGATTATGCCTCTATGATGACAACTGTGATGTGGGATTCCCCTCTTTATGCTGTGTATATCACCGGTTAATAAAAGAACTGCTTTGGGCCTATAGCAGGGCTATAGGGGAACAGAGCTAGGTGGGTAAAAACTAAACAGAATGCTGGGAGAAAGGAGGCAAAGTCAGAGAGAAGCCATGTAGCCTGCCAGAGACAGACACTGGGAACTTTACCCAGTAATCCACAGCCATGAGATGATACACAGATTAATGAAGATGGACTAAATTAATATGTAATAGTTAGCCAATAAGAAGCTAGAACTAATGGCCCACAGTTAGCCAATAAGAAGCTAGAGCTAATGGCTCACACAGTGATTTAATTAATACAGTATCTGTGTGGTTATTTTGGAGCTGGGCAGCAGAAAACCAACAAGTGGCTCTCTCCTCCTACAGAACTGGGCTAGGCACCAATCTGTAAGTATAGTAGACTATCACTAGGAATCTTTTCATTGACTTTTTTCCCTTTTCCTTTTTTTTTGCAAGTCATATTCAGTTCTATTCTAGGCCTCTGGGCTGTCTTTCCTCTACTTCCTGGCCAACCATGCAGTTGAGGATCAGACTCTCACTCATAGCTTGAGCAAGCACCAATTGGACTAGTCATTGGCTGGGCACTCCCACAGGTCTGTGCCTCCAGTACGCTAGCATGTCTTGCCGGGAGGACAGGGAAAATTCTTTGTTTAGATCTGTATTGTATTTTTAAATTGGACTGTGGTTTGTGGATGTCTAGTTTGTTTAGTTCTTTATAAACTTTGAATGTTATCCCTCTGTCTGATGTAGAATTGCTGAAAATTATTTTCCCATTCTGGAGGCTGTTATTTTGTCCTATTGACAGTGTCATTTGCTCCTTAGCTTTGACGTCCAGAAGCTTTTTATTTTCAAGAGGTTCCACTTATTAATTGTAGATCTTAGTGTCTATGCTATCTGTGTTCTGGTCAGTAAATTGTCTCCTGTACCAAGGTCTTTAAGGCTATCCCCTACTTTCTCTTCCATCAGGTTCAGTGTATCTTGTTTTATGTTAAAGTCTTTGATTCACTTGGACTTGAGTAGTGTTCATGGTGATAGATATGAATCTATTTGCATTCTTCACCATCTGATTTTATTCCTTTTGGTTGCAGCACACTAAATTGTCTCATTCTTTTCAGATGGACTTCAGTTCTGGGATCAATATTTAGTTATTTGCTGGTAAATAATATGAACTGGTATTTTGTGTACAATTTTTTACCAAAACCTTTTTAATGAATGAATAACAATCCCTCTCTTGTGCTTTAAAAAGCAGTGTATTTTACCTTCAGAGAGTCTTACAATAAAAACCCAGCTATAACTTTAAGCACTCAAGGTCAAGTATATTTTAGCATCCAAACAACCAAGTACAAACTTTAGGGCAATGAAATCTTCAGTCAGTTTTATTCATTACTGAAACTAAGTGGATTCAGGTGAGAGGTGCAGAACAGCTGTTGAATAGATCTCATTATGAATCTAGCAGATTTATTGTCCTCTGTTTCTGACTGCCATCCACTGTAATTTAAGTTATGTAAATTACATATATCTTCAGTATGGAAATTGTATATATTAATTAAATATCCAAAATTATATAAGTTAAGACAGATAAAGCATAACCAAATATCATACTACCCAGTGTGCACAAACAAACGGAAGGTCTTTTCTTGAGTATATTTAAGTATTTCAATTCTGTACCATTTTTTCCTATTTCAGAATAGGGCTTAAATTCCAAAGTAATCTATTTCTGCTTATTGTTTATGTATTGTGAAGGTTCATTCATAAATTCGTTCTGAATTTTATTGCTCACTCATTACTTACTCTCCAAACATTATAGGTTTCTCTTAGAATAGGTGAGGCTGTATAGCCATAGCAGGCATTAGTGTACTGTCTTCTTTATGCTCTCTCATCCTCTTGAGTTTATTGTAGTAATAAAAGCGGCGGGGCTGTATTCCCAGCACCCGGGCCGCCTGGCTAGCTTATGCCCAAAAATAACAACACACAAACTGTATTCTTTTAAACACTGCTTGGCCCTTTAGCTCTAGCCCTTACTGGCTAATTCTGATATCCCGATCAACCCATCTCTAATAATCTGTGAGCACCAGTCTTACCGGGAAGATTCTAGCCTATGTCCATCCTGGGTCGGAGCTTCATTGCGTGTGTCTGCCAGTGAGCGGGACATGGCATCTCTCTGAGGCGTCTGCCCCCAAGAGGAGAGCTGTCGAGTCTGAGCTCACTTCCTCTTCCTCCCAAAATTCTGTTCTGTTTACTCCTCCCACCTATGTTTTAACCTATGAGAGCCAGCCAAGCAGTTTCTTTATTACTTAACCAATGAAATCAACAGATTGATATGACACTCCCACATCACTTCCCTTTTTCTGTTTAAACAAAAAAAGGAAGGCTTTAACTTTAACATAGCAAAATTATATATAACAAAACAGTTATCAAGTAAAAATTACAGTAATCTTTATCATAACTAAGGAAAACTATAACTATAACTAACTATTCTTAACCCCATCAAAGACTCCAGAAAGATACAATATTACCTAAGCAAACAAGAAAAAAGCAACTTTTAAAACTCTAGAAATGACAGAGACATCTCGCTGCCTGGATAGTCACCCAAAGTTCCTCTGTACCATTGGGGCATCCATCTTCGTCCTACAGGCCCATAGTTTCCAGCAGACATTTCCACAAAGCAGGAAATTTCAAAGGCAGTCACTATCTGCTTGTCCTGAAGAATGTCTTGCAGACTCTTTCATGAATCAGGAACCCCAAAAGACCATCTCACCTTTAGGCAAGTTCAGCAGTTCTCTCTCTGCGGGTTCTCTGTGTCCAGTTTATGCAATAGTCCAGGCAAGAGCAGTTTCTTGCCCAAATGGCTATCAAACTCCATAAGGATCCTCTTCGATGCCCATCTTCTTGAAGTAGATTGGTGCTGCCAGGAGCAGAGTGTCTCATTGTCATGAAAAGTCCTAAGTTATTAAAACATTTAAAATGCCATATTCTATAATCTTTGAAAGATATGAAGAATGGCTATCTAAGATATATCTATACACATCTAAAAAATCTTAACTAACATGACTACAAACTTGACTATTATGGTTATCTATTAACAAGCTATATACATTACATTTTTAAGTGAACTACACAATCACAAATACCTTAATCAATATCAGAAACACTTATACATATAACAAAATTGACCTT